AAGAGGCATTCTTAACAGGGTCTCACCGTGTTGCAATCCTTCTGCCCTAGCCTCTTAATTAACCAGGACAACAGCTGTATGCAGTTGCACCCAGCAAGGTCATATTGGCCTGGGAAGTGAACTGAAGTCTTCCATGTGGCTTCCAATCTTCCCGGTGGTGATTCTATGCATATGCTACTGGGCTGGGCTTGTCAGGCCTCTTAATAATAGTCCTGATAGTGATCCAAAAACTACTTTTTTCTGTTAGTTTGAAACATTTTAAATAATAAAATCTATCTTTTTTTTGGAAAATGTTTATTCCTTTGTTTTATCCAGTGGCAGTTTAACAGATTTTTACTTTTTCCTCCTTCTGCCCCAACTCCTTATTCACCACCACTCTATTGAAGACTGATTTGTCGAAGGTAGCAATGCCCTATTAAATTTAGCTGCATTTTCTGTTAATTGGTATTAATGCTTCTCTATGAGTAATGTATAATTTACTAATTGCTATAAGCTAACTTTACTTTTTCTTAAAATTTTATTTGAATTTGGTTATTCCTTAAGATAGTGCCCTCACAGTTAAAATAGTTTTCTAATTTTTTAAAACTTTGTAAATCTGGTACTTAAAATGTAAACATTTAAGGAATCCTTTTTTATGAGTGTGAATTAACACTAGAAGAAAAAAACAGCTGGCAAATTGACAGTAGCATTGTTAAACAGTTCATTTCTTCTGTTCTGAGGCACCTAACATTTGGCCTAAAAGGCAATTAAAATGTTAGATTAGATTCTGCTTGTATTGTGTAGTAAAAAGAGTACTTCTTCTGTATTCACTCCTTCTGTTAAATTAAATTCTTCGTGGGAACCTCCGTAAATTGCATTTGGAGATTTGAGTATGATTACCTTAGTTCCTTTTTTAAAGCTATTCTCATTGCTTTTTGAAAGCCCTGATATATATGATTTAATAATCTACTATTCAATATCTTTTGTATATACACATGAGACATATATTCATATGGGGTCATGGATGCTGCATTTGATATGGTCATTTGATTTGTTTTCCACATTTCTACTGATTATTAATGTGAATTCAGTGAAGATGCTATATTTTACCCAGCTTGTTCATATTTTATATTTAAATCTTTCTCCTTTCTCTAAGTTTTAAGTTCCACTAACTTTAGGGAAATTTAGAAGACTTATAACTGATCATCAGGTTTTGTCTAGTCTGTTTGGAGGCTGTGCTTAAATGCAGTATGTTTAGTTTATCTTAAAAGGCCCTCTTGGGGCTGGCAGGTGATATGGTGGTTGGGGCTCTCTGAACTCCCACATGACTGACTACAGTTTGAGTCCCAGACCTAATGCCTTACTTTTTCATTTCCCCCCTCTCTCTCTGTTTCTCTCTGGTCAAATAAAAATTATA